AGGAAACTACACTCGTTCTGAAACCTTCGGTATTGATCTGCAAATAATCAAATCAATACCAAACAGAAAATAAAGGTATAAAAAAAGAAAGAACCAAGAACATGTACGTTAACCGAAAATAATCGTCCATCATGCAAGTTCAAAGTCCAAAAAAAAAAAACGATACGAGTACGCAAAACAACTAAATAAAGTACTCAATACGGTAAGTAGAGCAGACCTAGTTAAACCTAGGCTGGCTTCCCGGACGATCCACTTATCTGAAACCTTGAAGGTTTGTCTTCCTCTCTAGGTTTAACTATATATATATATATATATATATATATATATATATATATATATATATATATATATATATATATATATATATATATATATATATATATATATATATATATATATGTATGTATATATATAAATTTTATATATTATATTTTATATAATCTATATATATTATAATATATATATATATATATTTTATAATATGTATATATTATAATATATATATTACAATATATATATATTATAATATATATATTATAATATATATTATAATATATATATATAATATATATATAATATATATTATAATATATATATATATTATATATATATATATAATATATATATATATATATTACAATATATATATATATAATAATATATATATTATACATATTATAATATATATATATATATATATATATATATATATATATATATATATATATATATGAGATAAAGAAATATATTTTTAGATATCAACAAAAGTATTGAGAAAATTGTAAGAAAAAATGGAAAAGTTTACTTGTGACGCCTTTCAACCATTAGGACTTCATCAGACTGGGTTTTATTGGCGATATTATCCAAGATGAATGGTTGATGTCAAAGATGGAAACGGGAATTCTGGGACAATCCGTCTTTCTCGATATATAATTTCTACTCCGAAACGTGACCTAACGTAACGGTGTGTTTATAAGCAGTAATTTATACTTTGCTAACCGGAAAGTTCTCTATGGCTGAATGGTTACACAGCACGTCAGGCTCTATTTCCGTATAGGATACAAGTTTCATTCCTGCGAGAAAAGGCATATTTTCTATGAAATTTCTCGAACATTCATGCCAGTAAATGTAATTAATACTGTTTAATAAAAACAGAACATTGACTCGTATAAGTTGTATCCATAAATATATATATTAAATGAAATGGATTAAATCCGACAAATATTAAAAAATATTTTCTGTTTATTCGTTATTTTTATGGATTTTTATGGATACAACGGAAATTCAGGCCGGTAAATGTAGCTAATACTTTTTATTATAAACAGACCATTTACTTAAATATTCGTATCTATAATAATAACGTATAAACAAAATATATTAAAATAAATTATTATATATATATATATATATATATATATATATATATATATATATATATATATATATATATATAGTGTAGCAATCGGATGTCTAGCCACACTGATGAGCTGTGATACAGCGAAACAGGCTTGAATGTGGATGACTATATATATATATATATATATATATATATATATATAATGAAGAGAAAGAACATTAAGATATATAATCTGGTGTTCTTATTAATATTTTTATTTTTACAAAACAGTTCTCAATGCAAATCTACAGATCATAAATATTATAAATTTACTTATTTAAAAATATGGTTCCAGGAATTAGTACGTTTCAAAAACAGAAGCCAAAATCTTCAAATTCAATTACAGAATTAAATTAAAGTCCCTAGTTTTATTTCATTTTCAAGCGAATTTTAGATTAACTTATTTTGAAATTTACTGCGTTTTATAAACTAAACACATACATTTATAATATTAGTTTCTAAGGATACGGGGAAATCCAATCATTTTAACAAGGAGCAGTAGGGTATTCTTTTTCATTGACAACTATTGTATCAAAATATTAGTTACTTTCGAAAGAAGGTTAAGTCAAGATAGGGTAGGGGCGCCTTTTCAAACGAATGATGACATCCGTCCAACGCATGTTGTCTGGCCTTTTTAAACGACTAAAATTTTTTCGGCACTGTTGTTTCGCTGTTAAATTTGTACTTTTATACATAAAGATCTATATTTATATATATATATATGCATGTATGTATGTGTGCATGTTTGTGTATATATATAAGAATTAAAAATATATATAACATGTAAGAATAAAATAAAAATATAGCACGAGACGCGACATTTGAAAAAAGATCAAACTAACATAACGCGTTACATACAGTCAAAACATTATCAATGAAATTCGTTGATAATGGTTTATGACAGAGAGAGGAAAAGAGGGAGAGCGGGGTGGGAGAGAGAGAGCAAGAATTAATGGATTTTATTTTTAATCCGACATAATTTATTATTACTCCAAGCATTCTTTTTAGTGGAACCTATGTTTAAGGAGACGCCTGTTTTTTTTTTTTTTTTTTTTTTTTTAATCGTGTGAATTACATTTACGAGCCTATCTATCAATTAAAGATACCTCCTCTGGTGGGCTCTTCTACAAAAGATGACGCATGTTCGAGTCTTGTTGGAGAGACATTTGCTTGATTAAGTTTCTCAAATTCGCAATTGAGTGATTGATATTTTTACGGCTTATCAACCCTTTCTGGATTATTTAAAGCCGAAACATATTTTGGGATTGAAAGATTAATTTTTTTTGTGAGTAAATATTGCATTATACGTATACATGTCCTACTATCTAGCCCATAGCTATAGGGAGATGGATTCATGTCATTCCCAAGGTAAGTGAAGGTAACGAACCCGACCGGAATTCGAATTCGGCTCTCTGATTTCTCATTCCGAGCTGCTATTTATTACACCACCCGCGCATCCACCTCGAATGCGTAGTCTGATAGTCTGTTCAATAAAAAGGTGTCTACTTTAACACTCACTAAAAAGACATTTTAGATTAATAGGAAATAGATATATAATATATATATAAAACAGCTAACGCTGTAAAATGAGAATGTTTCTGCTTCGGAAATACGACCAAAAAAACAAAATAATCAAAAATAAAAGACATGGTAATGTTTACCAGTAACTGTTTCATGGAATCGCCGAGTTTATTTATGAAGAAAATAATTTATAGCATGAAAGTTTTCGATTATGCAAGTCAATTATGGAGCTGCCCTACTGTTTTTGCGAAGCATTTATCGACAATTTTAAATAAATAAATAAATTACCTTACAACAAACGAAGTGACATATATATATATATATATATATATATATATATATATATATATATACAGAGAGAGAGAGAGTCTGATTGTTTTCTTTATCTTTTTCATTTGAAGTAACGCGAGATATTTGCTTCTTTAAATCTAGCGCGCATGCGCAATAAAGATGGTGGACCGGGTCGGTGACAGATTTTGCCGTTGATTGTCGATCATTGTCAATCTTTAATAATTTATTAATAATGTATTTTATGTCTTGATCGTTAATTCAAATTTTATCCGTAGCAGCTGAACCTGAATATGAACGTAATATGGTGGTTAGCGGCTCAGCACGAGAGATCGGTACTCGGGTTCGATTTCTGGTTAACAACATTTGATATAAAAAGTACTCTCAGGAAATGTGTAAATCTATTTTTCTCACCCCACCCCAGCTATGGATTAAATAACAGGGCAGGCCATTGTTGGCAAGCACCAACTCTAATTGGTTTGTTTTTTTTACGGCTTATCAATCCTTTTCAAGTTATTTATGCCAGAAAGTAATTTTTGTGTCTATATTTCTGAGATGAGGTATTATGTACACTATTTTCATTGCTCGGACGATCATCCTCTTTGTTGCCATATTTATCACAACATTACAGCCGTTGTACGCTCCGGCCTACTTCAGGTGGTTGGAATGTCGAACTGAACCTTTTATTTCGCTCACTGGAGTAGACTATTCTAGTTCCACGTGCCATGTCTAATGGGTGTCAGTTATCAATTATCTCCTGTTAATTCCCCTCTCCAAGTTCTTCACTGCCTTAACCAGGTATTGAAGTCACACTCTTTGGGTCCTGTCACTGGATCTAACTAACGCCTTTATTCACTGTGCCATGTGTCCTCAAGGACACATGGTACAGTAAAGGGTTCATTTCGACATTCCAACCACCTGAAGAAGGCCCGAGCGTACAACAGCTGAAACGTTGTGATAAATATGGCAACAAAGATGAGGATGATAGTCCGAGCAATGTAAATAGTGTAAGTAATTTTTTATTGTAACACATAGCAATGATTTATTGATACAAGTATTACTATTTAACTCATAGCTGCGGGAGAAGAGATACAATCAATAATCTTTCTCAAGAGTATTTGTGCGTAAGTGGATATAACGAACCACTAGAGGAATAGGAACTTGGCTTTCCGACTTACAGTTTCGATCCGTTTGTACCACCCGCACATCCAAGTTTACAGCACCTCGTATAACGGAGCAGTCACCCATCTAGGTGCTGATCAGGCTCGACGTTGCTTATCGTCGGTGATCCGGCGAGATCCGGTGTTTCAACGAGACATGGCCGTAAGCCAGCAAATTGAACAGAGAAGAGGTTGCTCTGAGGTTAGTTTTGCCCAACACCATAAACTGTTACAAAGCCAAAATATTAACCTAAAAACTCAAGTTATTTCCTTAAATTGCCTCATCAGACCGAGACTTTCATATAGGTGTCATATATGGCGCCAAACTCGTTCAAAATCCCTCCGTTGCCGCATAGGATGAGGTCGTAAAAGACTCACTACTTCCATCTTACGCACACCAAGCCTGCCAATGGCGGCTGCGCACCCTCGTTCGTTGTCGTTACGGAGACCGATAACGAAACTTACGTACGCTAATACCATTGGGAAAGATATGAATCCATCTCCTTCTTCCCCCAGCTATGGGTAAATAGCAGGACAGACCGGTTTCTATAGCCCTGGTTGGCAACTGGTTCACCGCAGAAAGAAATGGTAAGCTACTGCGGTAAAAAATCTGCCTTGTCAGTCATGTATCACACCTCAGCTCTGCCTTATTATCGGTTTTCAGCTCTGCCTTAGTATTGGGCTTTAGCTCTCCATTAGTATCGGGATTCAGCTCTCCATTACTACCAGGCTTCAGCTCTCCATTAGTATTGGGTTTCAGCTCTGCTTTAGTATCGGGCTTCAGCGTTCCATTAGTATCGGGCTTCAGCTCTGCCTTAGTATTGGGCTTCAGCTCTCCATTAGTATCGGGCTTCAGCTCTGCCTTAGTATTGGGCTTCAGCTCTCCATTAGTATCGGGCTTCAGCTCTGCCTTAGTATTGCGCTTCAGCTCTCCATTAGTATTGGGTTTCAGCTCTGCTTTAGTATCGGGCTTCAGCGTTCCATTAGTATCGGGCTTCAGCTCTGCCTTAGTATTGCGCTTCAGCTCTCCATTAGTATCGGGCTTCAGCTCTGCCTTAATATTGGGCTTCAGCTCTCCATTAGTATCGGGCTTCAGCTCTGCCTTAGTATTGGGCTTCAGCTCTCCAATAGTATCTGGCTTCAGCTCTGCCTTAGTATTGGGCTTCAGCTCTCCATTAGTATCAGGCTTCAGCTCTCCATTAGTATCAGGCTTCTGCTCTCCATTAGTATTGGGTTTCAGCTCTGCCTTAGTATTGGGCTTCAGCTCTCCATTAGTATCGGGCTTCAGCTCTCCATTAGTATCGGGCTTCATCTCTGCCTTAGTATTAAGCTTCAGCTCTGCCTTAGTATTGAGCTTCAGCTCTGCCTTAGTATTGGGCTTCAGCTCTCCATTAGTATCAGGCTTCAGCTCTCCATTAGTATCAGGCTTCAGCTCTGCTTTAGTATCGGGCTTCAGCTCTCCATTAGTATCGGGCTTCATCTCTGCCTTAGTATTGGGATTCAGCTCTCCATTAGTATCGGACTTCAGCTCTGCCTTAGTATCGCACCTCAGCTCTCTAAATTAGATTTGAGAATCATTCTACTGAACTTTTTATTGAAGTATGCTTCAGTTTATTCATTTAATGATTAGTTATGAAATAAAACAAATTACTGTACATATTCTGTTTCTATTAAATCTATAAAACTCCTCTATAAAAATAATATACATAAATGTATATGTACGAATATAGAAAAGATTTAAGATTTTCAATAATATATGCATATTATCTGGAACGTACTTTTTGAATCGGACAATCTTGGAATGTTGGAGGAAGTGACATTCTGATTTATAGTGAAAAGGGTTCACATAGCAAAAAAGGTTAAGAACCACTAGTCTAGATCATCGGTAAAGACATAATGTCTTTTTTTTAGTCCGTCTCCAAATAAGATTTTCATAAACTTCTCGAACTTAATACGAACTTATTCATAGAAAGATCTAAATTATTTTAAAAGAGATTCTTAGAGAATTTGTTTTAATCTTTAAATTTATTTTTGGTATTATTCCCCATTGATATCTCTACTCGTCATTCGCTTTTACGTAAACCTTCTGTTGTGAATTCATAGAATTTTCCTTCAGAATAGGTTTTAAAAAAATTTGTAACTCTTCGCTTATACTTTAGGAACTTGTATTAGTGTTTGAAGTCTGTTCACAAGTCCCGTTATTTGAACCTTTCTATTTTTAGCTGCCAAAGTGAAAAAAAATTAGTTTATTTCCAACAACGAATCTGTTATCGGAGGATGGACTACTCTGAATTTCCAAACCGTATGTGACGGTGGTGAAACCCATACTTGTGATTAAGGTCCGATCAGTATAGTTCCAGCATAGTGTTTTACTTAGATGTGGCACAACGCCGAAAGAAGGGAGCACCTAGTGAGGATTGAACTCGTTACTCAGTCGTAACTGATCTAGTGAAATAATCATTAAATCACGTCGAAGTGTACATAGCATCGTTACAAAGTCGGATTTTTCAGAGCGCCCACGTCGCTACCGAATGTGACACAAGGCCAGTTTAAAGTGGGTTTACGATAATACCGTGGAAAAATTGCTCAAGCCCCTCGGTACATTCCCTTTTGAGGACGCGAAGGAGGGGTATTATCTAAGGGCTTGAGCTTAATATTATTTTGAAACGACCCCAGCTGAAGACGGGGAAGTATAAATGAGTGTAGCGTAGATGTGGAATAAGGACGAAAGTATGGAGCGCTCAGTGAGAATCAAACTCACTACTCAATCATAATTGAATTCACTATGCGTAGTCGATATAGCGAGACAAGCTTGCTAACCATTACGCCACGTCAAAGTGCCCGTGGCATAGTTACAGTATAAATCACATGTTAGCTTTGTGGATGTTGAAAAAATAGGCATGCTCGGAAAATGAGCAGTCATCCTGAAGATGAGACATCCCACTGATTTACAGTGTGCCTTCAAGTCGAAACAGCTGTGATGATGAGCAACAGTGTTTATTAAATTTGTGGGCGAGAAGAAGAGTAATCACTGCCCGATTCATCTTTTGCTTCTACACCAAGTAATAACACTTCGAAGTAACGAGAGAGGAAAAAAAAATTGACATTTGAAAAGAAAATGGCTTACGGCCGTATTATGTTGAAACGTTGGTTCCCGTACGATCACCGAAGTTAAGCAACGTCGAGCTTGGTCAATGCCTAGATTGGTCATCGCTTGGAATTACCAGTTGTTGAAAGCTTGTATGTGCTGATGGTGTAATGGATAATGGCTCGTAATTTTTAATCGGAGAGCCGAGTTCCATTTTCAGTTGGGTTCGTTATATTCGCATACTCGCAAATAGCCTTAGGAAAAAATTTCTATTCTGCCTCCTGCTATGGGTTAATTAAACTTGTATCAGTAAAATCATTAATATCTCGAAAAAAAAAAGAAGAAATTCTTACAATCTAAAAATATTTCCTGGCTTTAAATAACCTACCAAGGGTTCATAAGCTGTAGCAAACGAATCAATCAATTAGCTGAAAATAAAATGTCGATACTTTTGACGCCAAAAAACAAAGAGTTAATACAGGAAAAATGCAGAAACAATGAGAGTTTCGAACTTTGAATGACAATTCAGGACTTGTTAAATATTTGAATATGACAAAAGTTTAAATGACGTATATATATATATATATATATATATATATATATATATATATATACATGAATTATTCACACAAAACTAATGCAAAGGTTAATGCTTTAAATGGCGAGACATCCATCATCGCAAACAATTCAAATAGTATACAAAAACCTCCACATCCGTTATGAATGAATTGATCCTTGTTTATATAAATTTCTGCCGTATTAGTTGTTATTTTTACTACAAGCTTTCGTCTGTTCCTACAGACATCTTCAGGTATAGAATAGATAATCTTAGTAATAAGAGGACAACGAAAATATGTGTTGTATCCGAAAATGCTATTGAAAATGAGTTATTGGTTTTGGAACGCGCCAAAGCAACGCTGAGTTTGATTTTAAATTTTTAAAGTGTTTGCGTTTATACCAAATATGGTGTTGAACAATTTTTTTTACTGGTAAATTTTTCTGTCAAAGTGGCATGAACTATATTGTTCAATAATTACAGTAATGTCGCACTTATTATCCAAAAGTCGCACTTGGATCAGTTATTTAAATTACGATAAACTAATACGGCAGAAATTTATATAAACAAGGATCAATTCATTCATAACAGATCTGGAGGTTTTTGTATACTATTTGAATTGTTTGCGATGATGGATGTCTCGCCATTTAAAGCATTAACCTTTGCATTAGTTTTGTGTGAATAATTCATGTATTTGTAAATTGATTGCACGTTTATCGTATATATATATATATATATATATATATATATATATATATATATATATATATATATATACTCTGCGATAATAACATATGAGGAGTATCGTTTGGAGTTTCCGTGGCAAGTCTTTTGTACCGTTTCTTTTTTATCGACAGATCCAAAAAGTGTGCATGGTGCGACACAAACCTTTATCACTTGAAACAAATCATTGTGTTGGTTTTCTGACAACTATATCTAATTAGTTCCACACATATCCGGCTACTGCGAAAAACTCTACGAAACAACATCAATTTCATCTTGGCACTTGGAATGTAAGAACTCTCCAGGGCAACAACAAAAGGGACGCTAAAGTACATCTCTTGATCTTGTTTTCCGCTAGTTTAAGAGTTGTTCTTCTATTTTTAGTATTTGAATATGGCGTAGATAACTGTAGAAGTTCCAATTCTCTGTTGTAACAACCCCTCCGAAGTGAAATTGCTCTATGGACCACTAAAGTATTACCGTGGACTCCCTGATTGTTCTTTCTTCGTGTGGACCTCAGTAATGTTACATGGACCTACCATGGTCCATATGCACCCCGGCCGGCTGGGAACCTCTGGTCAAGAAGGAAAAATCTGAATAAAAAAAAAAAAAAACGTGGAGAATGCAAAAGGAAACCACAACAATTATCTTTTCCAAGAAGTTATGGCAATTCAAGAGATTGCAGGAATCTTTCTCCTCGGTTTTTCCTTGAATGTTAAAATTCAGAGTGTTGGGATCCGATACAATAACATGAAATATTTTTGTGAGGTTGCTCGTAGTTTAATATAACGACAAGAATACAAGCAGTTGGTGATATATTGCAAAGTAATGTTTTTTTGTTTGGGTTGATAAAGTTCTGAAATAAAATATAAACTGTCTTTGTGTACGTATGTGAAAAACAATGAAATATTGTTATATGTGTGTCTGTATGAAAAAGTCAACACGTGTGCATGGTTCATAATAAAGAGGATACAGGAAATAGTTAGAAATTGTTTCTTACTGTTGGCGGTGTTGCCGTAGTCTGAAGTTTGTTAACGTTGTCGCTTTTAGCATGGGGTCGTGAAGATCATAAGCGAGAGGGGTGTGGGAGTTGGTGACACCTGTGCGTATCCTGTTTGGGGACGGATTTTGTAAGTTTTTATATATAAATCGGCCCCAGAATTAAATTATTTATTTCTTCCTAATTGGCCCTAAAAATCCGTGTGGTATGTCTTCTACTACGTCCGCACTATATTTGGGCGGTATCTAACTAAAAATCATGATGACTAATACAACAAACTTTCTGATTTGTATTCTATGATTTTATTGGTGTATTTTTTTAAAGTGTAAGTATATTCCTTGAGTGTGATTGGTTTATAAATATTGTATTTGATATTTTAGTGGACACGACAAGATAATAAAGAAACGTAATATCTGAAGAGATGTAATCGTCTACGTTTTGAGCGGTCATAGAATTTAAAAAAAGGTAATTAGGTGTTAAAAATGTAATTATTTAGCAAATGCTGTACTAATGCTGTGAGAAATGTGATTTTTTTGTCAGCCAAGGAGGATTACTATGGAGTCCAACGTACACTAGTCAACTGTCTTTTTCGTTGTTCTTTCTGAAATAAGCAACTCTGTTCTCACTGGTTTAAAAATGTGGACTGTATTTTTCTCATTGGCTTAAAATTTCTGAATGCGGCTTGAATTTATTTATTTATTTATTTTCGGCGCCAACATATCAGGTCTTGTGTGATCTAAATTGACATATTCTGTCTTAATATTCTGAGAAATGTGAATTTTTTCGAGTGAAGCGGTTTGCCGTCGTCCAGGTTAGATGAGTACACTCCAATTCGAAACCTGAGAGCCGAGTTCGAATTCTAGTCGAATCCATTACATTCACTTACGTGCTTAGGAAAGATATGAATCCTCCCCTCCTCAGCTATAGCAGGACAGACCGGGTTCTATAGCCTTGGATGGCAGCTGGTTTACTGCAGAAATGGCAACCTACTGCGGGAAAAATCTGCCTCGTCAATCAAGTATCGAAAGATACATGATTGTTTAAGCGTGTATCCCACATGGCACATAACTGAGTGACCCAAGCTCGGATTATCCTTTAATCTAGTATAGGCTG